AATGACCCCAAGGGACTCAATGTATTGAAACAGGAGAAGCAGAAGGTTTGTCATAGGGAGCTAATAGATTTAGGATTCTGTTTAATCAGTATTAAGGATTAAAACAAAAGTTAAGAGAGTTACCTCAAAGCTAAGTGATTTTATATATTGTATGAAGTAGATTTGGAATTTTCAATTATGTTTCTAATTGCAGAAGAACTAACTACAAAGCACTTAAGAATTAAGTCAGCAAACTCTGTCCTTAACCAGAAAAACAATTTAATGCTTAATTTGTCACTAGACAAATATGAGTGTGAACATTATTAATATTTCTCCTGTCCCTGAAATTTTGGGAGCATATATAAAATAATTTATATCTTTTAATGAACTGTGAGAAAGTTTTGCACTTTATTTGAACAAATTAGCCTGTATGGAAAGTATGAACTAGCAAATGCTGCTCTTTAGGAAGTGCTCTTGTTTATTTGGAAAAAAAAGAAAATAAATCACTTATTCACATTATTATACACAACTGTTTGGTTCTTTTCCTTAATTGTAATTGTATGGTTTTTACAGTGATCAAGGTTAGGAGAATTTAAGACTTTTAAGTTATATTTGAGCTTTCTAGTTTTTTATGTGGCTGGGTGTTTGTGCATGTGTTAATGGTATCCAGCAAAATGGCAGCACATTGTAAAGGCATAGTTGACTTTGGAACGGTATAAAGGGTGCCGTATGGTTTACATTATAATTTTTTAACTAGAAACATAAAGGGGCTCTGGTGGCCAAGTGATAAGGATATGCACTGCCAACCCAAAGGCATGTGGTTCAAATCCACCAGCTTCCATCTCCTCCAGTGGGATTTACTGCTTCTGAAAATCCACTGGGCGGTCAGCAGTGGGTCGGTTCTCACTTTAACACTCAACTAGAAACATATCCCACAATTGACAATAGGTTTCTTGTACTTAGATTTGGTATACTGAGATTTTTTTAAAAGATCTGAACCTTTTCCACATTTTCAGTGCTATTTTAAAATTTGGAATTACTTCTGGAATCATGGTCCTAGAGAAACAGTACATCGGTGGTTTTGTATAGATGAAGCTTTGGCTAACTTTTTACATCAGGTACTGTCTCTTCATTCACAGGTTGATGCTGTCTTTCACAGTTACCTCTAAGCCGCGAGTAGCTTTTCGTTGTCCTTTTCAGGGCTTCACTGAAAAAGACCTACTCTTCCTTAAAGTTTACCTTTCCCTTCTATTTGTTTTTGTGGGGTTTTTTTTTTGTTTTGTTTTTTGCAATATCCATACGCACTTTATTACAGATCTGGGAGGACAGCAAGTTGGCCTCAAAGACTGCCTCCTTTCTCTTCTATTTGGCATCACTAGCTCTTTATTCTTTCCAGTAGGAATATTGGAACTGAATTTTTGTTGGTTGTTAAAAATACAGAAGTAAATTTAGTTTATAGAGAGAGATTACAGAAGCCTAAATAATATAGTGGAAAATGTATAAGATAAACTGTACTAGTTCATCCTTATCACTGTCTTGATCTTTGAGCTTATTTTAAGTTGCAGTATTAAATATAGCATTATGATGTTGCTTTTTATCATTTTATCAGAGGTCACAGCATGTTGAATCTTTAGTTTACTTGTTTCTTGATTTTAGAGCAACCACTCCCCTTCAGCCCAATCTGAAGCAACTTTCAAGGAACAAGCCGTTTTCTTGGTGTTAGACCTCACTAAGGGAGTCCTTGCTTGGAAATGCATCCTTATATTACAGCCCCACCTACCTTAGTGCTTCTCATCAGGTGCTTCCGTGCTTACTGCATTGTTATTCAGCTTTTTAAAATCACAGCTAAGTTAGGCATTGCTGTTGTATCCAGTCAGCCATACATGTTTATACTTATAAATCTACCTAAATGAATTGCATTTTTTCATCTCCTTTGTGTGCTGACTGGTTTTTAGAGAATCTAGACCAGATACTTGTTTCACAACTTGATGGGCTTACTTTCAGAATGTCTTTAAGGTTAGTAATTTCCTGTACATTCTAGTCTTACTTGGTGCTCAAACAAATTGGTTATATTATTTCTCCCACCCTATATTGTTTCAAGCAGTGCAACAGCATTAAGAAACATTTTAATTTAAAAGAAAAATCCCAAGATTAATTCCAGAGTTGAAAGCTACAAGTGTGTTAACAAGTGAAATGTTTATTTCATTTTGCTAAGGCATAAAAGAGAATATTTTTGTCATTTAAGTGATAATTAAAAGAAGTACATACAAGGAATAAAGAGAGATTAAGATGTAATATGTCTGCTGATGTTAGCTATATAAAATGCATATAAAAATACTGGATGCTAACATGAACAAATAGAACATTGGAGACTTTGTTGTCATTCTAAATTTTCTGGAATTTCAGTCTTTTTAAAAATAAAAAGCCATTTGTGAAGAATTTGATAATGTCTTATTTAAAATTTTCACTCTAGAAGTCATGTATATCTAAATTTCTTAGCCAACCTTCTGACGTGATCCACTAACTCTTTTTATAACACCTAAAAAACTTCCTGAATTGCTATATTGACCACCATTGTGTTCTTTATAAAGGAAGGCAATGTGCCACTGTCAGTTTTAGAATTTGGACTTGCATCTGCTAAGGAAATGAATAGGAAAGCAAAATGTATGTGAAACCAGTTTTTTAATAATAAGTAGATGTGGATTGAGTGGAGGAGTTTAAGGTAAATGACAGCAAGCCAAGAGAGAAATGGAGAAAAATTTCACAGCTGTGAAGTTTCTGAAGAAAAATGGAAAAATTCTAATATTGACAGGTCATATGTGTGCTCAGTTTTGTATATTTATGCCTTAATATATGATTTGCTTTTATGTGGATTCACATATAGTAATGTAATCAGAATCTGGTACTCTGTAAGGAGCTGTGCTATTCACCCACCAGTGAATCCACCAGCATTTAGGTTCTCAGGAAAAAGATAGGAATTACCCTTTTTTTAAAAAAAAAAAATTATTATTAATTTCAGTAAAAATATATAGAGACTTTGGATTTCTATTCATTCATACATTCATTGTTGCACGTTTCTCCCCTCCCAACCCTCCCCTCTAGTATACCACCCTCTTGGAAAAGTAAAGAAAATTTTTTTCATTGTTTTATAAACCCTCCCCAGGTCTACTCCACCATGTAGCCTTTACTCTAGACTCCTGTCATGACAAAAATACCTAATCACATATCCCTCTTAAATAGTTTTCTCCCTCATCTGTTTCAATGCATTATACATTATTGAACCCATCTTTCTCAGTCTCTTCCCCAACCCCAGTGTCAGTCCTGTTTTACAACAGTGGCACCATGCAGTATTTGTCCTTTTGTGACTGAGATACTTCACTCAGCATAATGTCCTCCAGGGTCACCCATTTTGAATAATATTGCATGAGTTCCTTGTTTTTCAATGCAGCGTAGTATTCCATTGTGTGAATATACCAGAGCTTCTCTATCCATTCGTTTGTTGATGGGAGGAATTACTCTTGTGTGATTTAAAACTTTGGCAGCTATGAATGGATTTAACTCAAAGGCAATGTGTTTGAGTAATTTAATAAAATCTTAATAATATTAATTATGTTCCTTGTACATTTATTATAAATTTGACAACTGGTGTAATGTGATAGTTATACACTTTATTATATAATCTTATTAATTACTATGAAATGCATAATGTTGATTTTTATAATTGTCTCTTTAATATTTATCCCGATACTCTGTTATATTGGTATACCTTATTTTTCACATGTTTTTGTTGAGTAACATGGTATTGGAACCGACCCATAGCTGACCCTCCAATGGTTTTTCAGAGATAGTGGATCACACAAGAGGAGATTGCCCATCCTCCTCCCACAGAGCAGCTGGTGGCCTTGAACTGCATGTGCCTTTGGGTTTGCAGCACCGCTTCTTGTCATTAGGTCACAGAGCTCCATGTAAATAAGCTACATATGCCTAAATACACATAGGAATTTATGCAAAGGAAAGGCATTCAGTAGCATGCATTATTTGCATAAAAATATGGTGTAGCATTTTATTTTTCCTTAAGAAATTTTTCAACAAGAATGAATTTTAAATCACATTTAAAAAACCACTAATACTGTTTCAGTGCATAGTGGGATAAATGATATCAGGATGAAGAATATTGAGACACTTATAGGACAGGTTCAGAATACTTAAGAATTGCTCTAGGTATTTATGCCTGGGTCTTTGCTGCTAACTTCAAATAGGTAAGTGTTAGTAAGATTAAGCATTTGTGGTTCATAGGCTTAAAATCTGGCACCTCTGGATTTGTATTGACTTTCTTGAGCTAAAACAATATTAATTCTTTGATTCAGCTATTCCAAATGAGAGACAATAACTCCTTTCCCCCTCTTTTTTATTGTTATATGTTTATGTTTATTATCTCCCCTTCAATATTTTTTTCTTTCTATTTTTGTGGAATTTTTTCCTTATTAGTAGAAATTAAATTTTCTTATGAACATTGGATATTTTATGTTTTATTTTGAATATTTATCCTATTTAGTATTTTAATTTCAATGGAATGATTCTGATACTACCCCTATCCTCAGAATTTCATTATAATTGGAGAATCAACACTGCAAGTGAAGTTAATATTTTCTTTTGATTAGCATCGTTCACTGTACTTTCATTAAATAATTGCAGTTGACCTACGTACTGAACTTTAGGGGTAAATAACAGAATTACAAGGATTGTTACTTGCTCTTTCAGTCTTTGAAGTATTGTAGGAGAGAACATAAAAAATATAAAAATATTTAAGTGCTATGGAAGAGGTAAGTTTAAAAAGTTGTTGAAGCAGAGCAAGTGGGTTGCTTATCTTTTAAAATTATAGATGATCATGGTTTTTAGTATTTAAAAGAATTTTAAATGGAAAATTATTGAAGCGATTCATTTAAAGAATTTCTTAATGCTCTTGGAGTTGCATATTATTTTTGTTTGTGGGTAAACATTCCATTGTTTTTATAATACAGAATGATATGGAACCTGGCAAAGCTGCTCCACTGAATGCATCTAAACAAGATGGACCCCTGCCAAAACCACACAGTGTTTCACTCAGTGATACTGAAACAAGAAAACTAATGGAAGAGTGTAAAAGACTTCAGGGAGAAATGATGAAACTGTCAGAAGAAAATCGACACCTGAGAGTAAGTTCTGTTTTTTGGGGAAGGAACTTAACTGAGAGGAAGGTATAGAATATTTGACTATTGAACTTCTAATCAGTCATTTACAAATTTATCCTTGATCTGTTTTCTTTCCTTTACCCTAATCTGATTATGCCCTAGCTTGTCTTCCCTACCTTACTAAAAACAGCAACCAAAAACCCAAAACCAAACAAAACAAAAACTTAACATGGATTCTCATTGCCTGCAAATAATTATTCTTTTTTAAAAAAATGGTTTTGATGAAATAGATGTAATAACAAAGCTTTCCAACCTTTTAAATATGCATAGTTCACTTGCATTAATGTTCACTATACTGTAATGTATAGAATATAATGTTCACTATGATGTATAATGTATATAATGTTCACTGTACTATACACGATACTGTATACAGTTTGAAAGTCCTCTCCAGGAGCAGGGTTCTACAGAAGCTTGTTAGCTGGGATTGGTGAGCATTAGGGTGAAATGTTGATTAAATAAGGGAAGTGAGACCTTCAGGTCTGGTTTAAATTGTTTTTTTTTGTCAAACATTCTTATAAGTGGTGGTATAGCACTGGTCTCTGCATTGCTGTACAGAGGTAACTTGTGGTTCCTGTGATGCTAAACACTGTGACACTGATGTTCCAAATGCGATAATGGTTACTCATGGTGGACAGTGTTTGGTGGAGCTTCCCGATTAAAGCAAGCTTGGAAGCGGAGTGACATCCACTTCCGAAATGGCTTGCCTCCAGGGACTCTGTAAACATGGAGAAACGACCAAAGTTATACAAGTGTTCAGATCTTTCGTTCGTAGGGTTGCTAAGAGTCTTCTGTGACTTGATGACACTTAACAACAACAACATACCGTAAAATCCTTACTATGACAGATTTCTATATTTTTTATCCTTAAAATTTTATTTTTTGCGTTGTAACTTGTTTTCTTGGTAGACATACTAGTTGGTTGTAATCTGGCCTTTAATATTGCCACTTCCTCTATTGCTTGTATTCCATACTCTATGTCCTAATCATACTGAATTATCTGAAACTGGGACTGTGTAATGGTCTATATGAAAACCGTATCATATGGGAGCTTTTGTGGCCTAGGGGTGAGAGGCTGTGCTGCAATCCCAAAGGCACACAGTTCAGACCCACCGGTTGCCACATGGAAAAAAGATGGGCAATCTTCTCCTGTGCAATTAACTGCCTCTAAAAACCTGCGGGAGAGTCAGCTATGGGTCGTTTCCTACCCTATGGCACATAACAACAACAACCATATCATATGATGACTATATCATATGATAGACCATATGTGACTGTTGAACACTTGAAATGTGGGTTGGTCTCAGTTGATATATACTGTGAATGTAAATGCTTACTGACAGTGAAAACTAATATGAGAAAAAGAAAATAAAGGATATTTTTTTAAAAATCATTTTCTGGCTGTAGTGAGCTTAATGAAAAGATAGTAAAATCTTAACCAGTTTTAAGGTTATAAGGTAACTTTTTTGAGATGTTAGTTGATTTTATACAGATAGTTCTTAAATTTCTAAGTGCCAGGGTACAAGATCAGCATACAAAATCAGCATATAAAAACCAACCCAAATCCTTTACACTAAAAGGAAAAAACAATACCTTAACAATAATCTGTTACTCAAAAGATAACATACTTGAACTGTCTGAAGATTTTCAACCTCTTTTTTTTTTTTGTGTGTGTGTTCATAGGATGAAGGTGTAAGGCTCAGAAAGGTAGCACATTCGGATAAACCTGGATCAGCTTCAGTTGCATCCTTCAGAGATAATGTCACCAGTCCTCTTCCTTCGCTTCTTGTTGTAATTGCAGCCATTTTCATTGGATTCTTTCTAGGAAAATTCATCTTGTAGAGTGAAGCATGCAGAGTGCTATTTTTTTTTCCTTGACCAGAAAAAGATTTGTTTACCTACCATTTCATTGGTAGTATGGCCCACAGTGACCATTTTTTTGTGTGTGTGTACAGCGTCGTATAGGCTTTGGCTCTAATGATCTCTTACGGTTAGGAAACACAATAAAAACTGTTTGGCTACTGGACAAATTGTATATTACAAAATCATCACTAGCAGATGTCAATTGCACATTCAAGTCCTTTATGAAATTCATAAATAAAGAATTGTTCTTTCTTTGTGGTTTTAATAAGAGTTCAAAAATTGTTCAGAGTCTTGTAAATGTTATTTTAATAATCCTTCAAATTTTATCTGTTGCTGTTACCTCTTGAAACATGATTTATTTAGATTGCTAATCCACTCATTCAGGAAATGCCAAGAGGTATTCTGTGGGTAAATGGTGCCTCTTACAGTGTAAATTTTCTCCTTTACCTTTGCTAATATCATGGCAGAATTTTTCTTATCCCTTGTGAGGAAGTTGTTTTTCATTCTAATAATCCTGTCCCATGGTATTTAACATTTAAAAGAATAATAATAAAACTGTTAACAGATTCTTGCTCGATAGATTGTTTGTGTCTGGTGTGTCATTAGTTGGGATGTCAGGGAGTCTGCTGTATTACAGATTGAAATTTATCAGGCATATTCTTTCTCATTGAAACCCTTCTTATTCCAGTATTTGTAATTAAAATCTTCATTGTATTATGCAAAGAAATGGATAAATTTTCAACTTTATTTTGATATTTAGAAGCTCATAATCAGTTTGTCTTCAAGATAATGTGAAATAAGTGCTATCAGAATAAAAGTAATATAAATTTAGTCTGTTCATTATGTATGCCATTTGGCTATATTGCATTTAATTTACTACATTTTCACCTAATAACAACCACCAGGTTATTGTAGTATCTTATTAAGGAAAAAGTAAGTGTACTTTGTTCTAGTCAAGTACTTTTTAACGAGTCAAATAATTTTCAACCTTTTTAATTAAATATTTACATGATAATGAAAATAATTCATAATGACAGTTGGAGGTAGAAGTTTTTTCTCTCAGTTTGACACTCAGTGAAAATTTGTTGTTGTATAGTAAAACTTTAGGGGTTTTTTCTGCAAATAATGACTATCCTTAGAAAATCTGTTGACCTTGTGGAACACATTTGGAATAAATATGCACTGTAGGGTCTGGTACTTCGCTGCACTTGGTCTTTTGTCTTCATTTATTCTTTTTGTGCTAGAAGAAATTTTGGAAGCCAAGAAAATACTGTTTTTTTAAAAAACTGAGTGCAATCAAATAAAAGTGGATTTTGATTCCTAAGAGTAAGTATAGCTTTTCATAATAGGGTAGTAATACTTGAAAATTAAGTTGAACATTGGACTTGATGTAGTGCAATGAAGTAGACCTAGCACATTGCATAAAAAGCAACTTAAATGATCTGATTTTATTTACTTTTTCATTTCATGTGTTTCAAATTTATCAGGTCACATGTATTGTGACATTGTGCTCTGCCGTATATTTTATAAAATCTCTTGCTTGTACACAGAAGTTTCTAAAGACAAACACAGGTGTTGCCTACCTGTTTTTACTACTGCAGCTAATGTTTCCATTGTGTTGTGCTGGACTATCATTGTAGAAGAATAACTCTGATAACTGGAAACACATGCTAAAAAATTAGCCTCACCTTTTCATCCCATAAATGCAAAGTTAGTAATTCTTAAAGCTTTCTCTGTAACCAGTATTACTGTGTATCAGATTTGTTTCTTCATAATTATTTTTTAAATTCTGAAGAATTTTTTGAAATCCCGTTTTATGGGAATGATCCCTTGGAATTCTTTTTGTTTCCACCCTTTTGAGGATTCTGAGGCCTAAAGGAGGGTTGTGAAACCTTTCCTGTATCTCACAGGTAGGTAGGAGTAGAGCTGGAACTAGAAGATAACTCTCTTCATTCCACTTTAGTGGATTTCCTGGTAACTTTGTAGGGAAAAAACGGCTTTGACACATGATGGGACATAATGGATAGAAAAGACTATATAAATAAATATATATGAACTTTCCTATCAAGAAATTTTCATAAGACAACTGTGTAATAGTGTCACAGGTAGGTTTGGTTTTTAGTGTTTAGACTAGCAATGCTGCCCACCCAGTGAATTTTTAGATAGGTGTCTTATACAACGTGTTACGAAATGGTTAGCTTTGAGATAACATCTGCAAAACAGGAGTACATAATATGGACTTCTTAAACTTTCACACCAGGCAATGTTTTGATTGTACAGACTCTTAATTTTTAATTATTGTGTGAAATGTGATAAAACTTTACTATCAGCAGTTCTTCTGGTATTCTCTCCTTTCAGCTAAGATCCATCTAACATCAGCTACAATATCCCTAGTACCACAACCGCTTCTAAACCCAGCCTGGACTTCTGGCAGTTCTCTGCTGATGTACGTTCCAGTCATTTTTGGATAATCTTCAGTAGAATCTTGCTTGCATATGAAATCAATGATATTGTTCTGTAGTTTCCACACTCAGTTGGGTCGCCCTTCTTTGTGATGGGAACAAATATAGACCTCTTCCAGTCAGCTGGCCAAGTGGTTGTTCTCCAGATTTCTTGGCACAACTTGGTGAGCACATCCATGGCAGCATCGGTTAGCTGAAATATGTCAATTAGTATAGCATCTATTCCTGGGGCCTTATTTTTTGCTATTTCCTTCAAAGCAGCATAACAAACTGTGGCTGACTCTGAGAAGAATGGGAATCCCAGAACATTTAATCGTGCTAATGCGAAACCTATACTTGGACCAAGAGGCAGTCGTCAGAACAGAGCAGGGCAACACTGCATGGTTCAAAATTGGGAAGGGTGTATGCCAGGAATGTGTCCTATCTCCATACCTTTTCAACATGTATGCAGAGCAGATTATCCGAGAGGCTGGGCTCTATGAGGAGAAGCGTGGCATTAGGATTGGTGGACGATCTATCAACAATCTGCTTTGTGCAGATGACACAACCTTGCTCCCTGAAACTGAGGAGGACCTCATGCACTTAACTGCAGAGGGTCAAGGACTGCAGCCTTCAATATGGACTGAGGCTCAATGTCAAGAAGACAAAAATTCTCACCACTGGACCAATCGGTAGCATCAGGATGGATGGCAAAGAGATTGAGATTGTTCACAGCTTCAGTTTGCTCGGCTCCACGGTCAACACTCTTGGCACCCATAGCCAGGAAATCAAAAAACGTATTGCGATGGGAAAGTCTGCTGTTAAGGACCTCTCTAAAGTACTCAAGAGCAACGGTGTCTCTCTGGAGACTAAGGTCCGCTTGATACGGGCCATGGTTTTTGCAATCACTTGTTATACATCAGAGAGTTGGACAATGACTAGGGAGGATAGAAGAAGAAACGACGCCGAGCAGCGGTGCTGGAGAAAAGTATTGAATGTACCATGGACTGCCAAGAAAACAAACAGATTCATCGTAGAGAGGATTAAACCAGGCTGCTCCTTGGAGACAAGGATTCTGGGGCTTTGTCTGACATACTTTGGACATGTAAGGAGAGACAGGTCTTTGGAGAGGGACATCATGCTGGGTAGAGTAGAGGGACAGCTCAGGAGGGGAAGACCTTCTATGAGGTGGATTGATTCAGTGACTAGGGTAATTGGGTTGGGTGTGTCAGGCAATGAGATTGGCATAGGGTAGAGCACGGTTTAGGGCTGTTGTACATAGGGTCGCTATGAGTCGCAAATGAACCGACGGCACATACCAACATCAGCAGTTAACATCCAAAAGAGTACAGCTTAATCATACATAGATTAAAATGTTTGTCTTCATTCCATACATACTTAGTAAGTTTTACTTTGCCTGAATTCCTGTAAGCGTGAGGGAAATAATGTTACTGTTACTTAAGTTACACTCAGCTAAGGCCTTAAGCGCATGTGATGCTAAATGCACTACTTTAATTCTTTCTATAATGTACATTTAAGTTTGTCCAATTTTAAAAATTATGATGTTAGCTTTGTCATTAAATTACAGGAAAAATGGATATCAACTTAAATTTCTAGTAAAAAATTATTTTCCGTTTCTCCTTTAAGAATATTACCTTAGGAGTTCTTCTCAAGTTACTATTAACTGGTATGGAAATTACTTTTGAATTGTAATCTTTAAAAGTACACCATTTTGAAAACAAGATTTATTAATTAGGTTACAGAAACCGAAACCCATTCTTAAATACTTGTAAGTGATGATTTTCCTAGAGCTTGGCACAGTGGTTTTGTATTGTGCATTTTTAAAAATGGCCTTTGTGAGAGGCCATAGTCCATATAGTGCTGCACTACTGACCAGAAATGACATTTCTACAAGTTCGAGAAAGCCTATTGCTTACATCAGGAAAAACAGTAAAGTAACATAAATGGTCTTTTTAAAAATACTATTTTATAGCTTTCAAAGGAAGTTAAAAGTATCACGTGAATGAGTAAAATTATGGTGAAGTGTCATTTTCCTTTAAAACATAATTTTGTCTTCAGACTGATGGCTTATATGTTTGTTCTGACAAGCATTAATACTAAGCCATTGAGAGATCTCTGTTGGATGGCATTATCACCTGCATAGGGACCTTGAGGTTAGTGGTAATGGGGACAACTGATTTTCCATTTCCACATTTAATAACACTCAGAGTTTTGAGTTTGACAGAAGTTGGGACATCTTAAAAGAGGAAGAAACTGAAGCTGCCTTGGACTTGGTACAAGTAAGTTTGAACGTGCTGAACACGTTAGGAAAAGGAAATTATTGTCTTCCCCCTTCCATGTTTCTGATTGAATTTTAGATTATTTAGAAAATAAGTTGTTACTGTCAAGTTAATGCTATTTTGAGGTAACGCACCTTTTTTTTTTTTTTTTTTAACGAGTACATACCTTTATTGACCCCTTGTTAATTTACTTTCTAGGTATCTGTGAACTTGTATTAAAATAATTCTGCCCCAAAACGCACTGTGTTCCAGCACTTAATGTATTTAACACCCCATAAAACATGAACTCTTCAGGTTTAACTAGATGTACTCACGCCACTTGTCAAAAAGGATCTAATACACATAACCGGGGCTCTTGAGTCCTGTGATCTGTTACACAGAGTGAAATAATGTCTTCTCACATCACTCAGAAGATATATGTTGTCTTTGATACCAATTTATAGGCTGTAATGATTTTTTTGAAAACTCTAGGCCTTATATTTTCAAAGACTTTCTTCCCCCCCAAAATTGAGAAACTGCTGTTACTTAGCAATGTTAGTTTGTGAACAAAACCAAATATAAATATTTCTTAGCAACTTTCTTGTGTTAGCACTAAGCAGTTTGTGTCTTACCAAAGGTAGACTCTTGAATTATGGTCCATTAGCAGTTAATGATTTAAGCCAAGTATCTTTGTGTTTTTGGTAATTGCCAAAATTCTTGGTAATTTTTATAGTTTAAAAGAAAGGTTACTAATATGTGTACCTAAAGAATCATGAGGAAGAGACTTTCTTGGAGATGATTAAGTTGCAAGATTTCTTTTAAAGAGTATTGGAATTTCAAGGTGTGTGTGTGTGTGTAA